GACGATTGTAAAAATCGCGCCAACGTAAATCGCCAAATGTCCGTGCAACCGTCTACCAAAGTAGCACCTTTGTTGGGAATTCTGGGTAAATAACGGTTACCCAGTTATAATAATAAATTCTGGGTATCGGTAAAGATTATATCCTGATAATCTAAACACTCTTCACTTTCTACAGTGAAAAATGCTTATTTCATATTTATTCCTTAATACTAGGAAAATAGTTCTAAGATAGTTATTCTATACTGTGAAAATACTGCAGGAAAGGATGAATGATTAAATGGTATTTGGAGTTTTTCTCTTCGAAAAAGGTAATATTTAGCAAATTACAGTTCTCGAAAATGCATAGAAAGTTCCTATAATGCAAACATATATGTACAATTATAGAAAATGTAACATTTATTTGGGTGTAATTTTATATTGAAAATGAGTTATTCCTTATTAAATATGTATTAGTAAGGATATATTTAACTGCTATGATGAGTATTGTGCGAAGAAATTTCTGTATTTGTGATGAAGAAAGTTAAAATATTCGAAATTATAGTGGAGATTTGGGTAAAATGTCTCTTACTTTTTCTCTTTGCTTCCTTCTGTAAATATAGGTATATGGTAATGATAATGTTGTGTAAAGGTAGGACAGTGCTTCCCAAGATTTCGTTCATAAAAAATAAATGTAAAATAAACGCAATGCAAACTGACATTTGCGAAAGAACATTTTAGTCTAAGAATTAAAAATAGTATATATGAAATTGTCTAGAGAATTGTTGGAATGGGAAAAGTTAAAAAAATGTTTAACACTTGCGTTAAAATAAATGCTATCAAAAAACAGACTTTCAAGAGATGAAATGTAAACCAATGTGTAAATCGATAGTCATTCAATCTCTTATTCGATACTGGAAATGTTTATTAGAAATTCTTTTATAGATGGTAACGTCAAATTTCGTCAATTTCACATGAAAGTCTTTCATGAAGGCAGAAATATCCGTACTTAGTGTAGGAAAAGGTAATAAAGTGAAAATTTGCATAGTCGAGACATAGCCGAGACCATAGTGATGTAGAATGCATTCGATTAGTACAAATTACTCATACTAGAAACATAGTGAAAAAAAGAAATATAGGTAATATTAAAGAAATAAAAAAAGATCTAAAAGACGTTTTCTGCTAAATTAAAATGATAATTTTTAAAATATTTCTTGCCGTGAAAGATACACGAATTTAGAATTTTTAGTGTTTTATCGCTTATGTGATTTTTAGCAAAGAACTCAGGTTAGCTTTCTTTAAGTGTAATGATGATTATAATATATCACACCTTTCAGACATATTCGCAATTAATTTTGACAAAATGAGTTCGAGTAAAGTTTAAAACATTCCAGTGTTGATATCTGAAATTCAGTCTTGCTAATATAAAATCTGAGGCTAAGGCATGCACACAAAAGACAGGTCAAGAACATTTTATTAAACACCCTTTGTTTTCTCTATACAAAGTCTACTGTATACCCCTAATGAAATATCTTTTAAAAGATATAACCTCCTTTTCACCGAAACACAATTAATTTTAAATACGCATTCTGTTACAATTCGTTACTAATGAGCTTGGCTACAGCTTTGATGCCAGCGAAGTTCTCTTCAGCATTTGGAATGATTTGAGTGTTAGAAAGTAGAAAACCTTGTCTTCCAGTATCTCGTAACTCGATGGCAAAACTATACTTCACTTTCGCTCCTTCATACGCCCAGTCAACTGAAGATCCGGCTGCAGGATCTGAAATTAAGAGTTGTAACAGTTAAGTAATCAAGTATGACATATTCAGATATGGGATTAGTGGTGAAGTGTTACTTATTTATGTAAGTTGAAGTACTTTTTATATAAAAATCTGATGTGTACACCACATGACTTCCTTGAAATTATATGCATTTTTTCTTGCATTTCATTTAAACATATTGGATTGAATTAAATCTACATCGTCGATAACGCATAAACCACAATAGAATAAATCATCATATTATATTTATTTAACACAGCGACACTCTGAATGCATTCTACATCACTATGGTCTCGGCTATGTCTCGACACTTATTAGCGTTACATTTCGTTCATATTATAAATCAGAATGCATATAATAATCGAAGAATTATCTAATATGCCACATGTTTTATCAAATATTAAATAAATCTAAAGCGATTAAAGAAAGTAAGAAAAAAAAATGAAAATAAAAAATAAAAAATAAAAAAACATAAATAAATAAAATAAAAATAAATAATAAATAAAATAAAATAAAAAAATACGTTTTTTAGGCGATTCAGTATTCTCTTCACGTAATTCAGTTCTCACTCCTGACAAGGCAAAAATACAAAAAACTCAAAATATATATATTAAAAATTACAAAGTAAATTTTAAACACTTATTTCCTCGAATAAATTCCAGAATGGATTAAACATGATTTGATTCACAAAAATAAAAGAAGGCGTTATCTTTGCGAAGCTTAGTTTCTCTAGATTGGCAACAAATCCCCTATTTTGCCAATGTTAAAATGTAAACAAACATGTCCGCCATCGCAAAATTCATTAGGCTTAGATGAACTTAAACAGCTTTTAAATTGTTGATAACTCCACAAATATTGCATGCAGATTTACTAAAGGCCGGAAGATACCTTAACCGAAAGATAAGAGCAACATAATTTAATCATTTTTAAAGCAAAAAATGCACAACTTACAAACATATAAGAGTAAAGAAAGCGAGATCACTGAGCCGGTTAACAGAATGGATATAGATATATACATATATTTATATACCTTTGGTGCGGCCGATTGCAACTAAAATACGAGGTGCACATCTACATGTTATAGCAGTCCTATATACAAAATTACAACGTTCTGAGGCTACTCGTTTTTGAGTTATGCGAGATACTTCGTACATACAGATGCCAAGGAAAAGTCTCTTTAGAATTTCATTTGAAATCAGTTTTTTTTTTTGGGGGAAGAGTTTTATTCTGTCCTTACGTACAGATGTCACGCAAAAACATCGTTACATCGTTACATTGCATTCGATAGCAGTCGAAATGGATATTTTCGTTGCAATATGCTGCCTGAAAATTTTCGTGATAACAATAGTTCCTTTTTACTTCGTACAAGGAAGAAACATTTATTGAAATTACTTTGTTTTAGATTCAGAGAACTGATGTTTGATAAGACAATGAAAAGGAGCATTGTATCAAATCTCATTTCTTAATGCTTTTAAGCCATTATTAATAGCAGTAGTAAGCAGATTATTGTATTCCACTTGACTGCTAACTTCAGTCAAGGAATCGTACCATTATTGTAGCCGTGGCATCAGCTTATATGTTTGTCTAAGATCGAGAATATCATCATTGGACAACGAATGACTGGAGCTGTAAGGAATTATCCAAAGAAGCACGTTTTCGACAATTTCAGTTAAATGTGCTTATTCACATATGGTGATGGATTAGTCCTGTTAATAAGGTATTGCGTAAACTGTCTTCCAGAGTTACTCGGAGTGCTCAAGGACCCCTAATAAGGAGATAACATAATGCATAACTCGGACTGCACAAGAACCCCCAAATGAACAGCATAACTAAGAGTGGTATAAGCAGTCTGATTTCAGACTAATAGTCTTTAGTAGCAAAAGTTTCTACAGCAGGATAATGCTATTGCCATCATCTATGGGTGAGACAGAACTCTTTGAGTGAATACTCTATTGATTTCCAGATATTCGGTAGACCACCATGCTCTTAAATTTGAACTCTATGATGTCTTAACACAATGCAGAATTCACTGATAACTTGCACAGACCTATAACGAAATATTTTTGCATTGTAAATAACTATAGAGTACGCGTGGCTTGATATATCCTTGCACTGGTTCCAACATCGTCCCACCAACTAACAAGCGGTAAAGTCGCTGAACACAACAAGATGGAGCAAATTCTTACATTGAGAGTCAAGTCATAGAACTGCTTCGTGCTAACTTTGGCGAGAAACGTATAATATCCATAGCTTTTCCGGATGCCTGGCTTCCTCGTTCACCCGGCTTAAATCCCTGTGAATTCTGGTTATGGAGATTTCTAAAAGACAGTGTTTATGGAGGGGGAATTAGGACTTTATTCGAGTTGAAAGCTAGCATTGTTGTTGAAATCCCTCAAGAGTTTCTTCTTGCTACCACTGGACACCCTACAATACCTTTTCAACATATGATTGATGTCAATGGAACACACGTTGAGCACATTGTGTAATTAAATAAATTTTAGTGATTTTGACAGACCTTTTTGTTCTTCTTTCGGCGTCACAATTCCTCCTGGAGGTCAAAATTCGAACTAATGTTTTATTGCAGAAATCGTCTCCCCATTGTCCATATAACATATATAGTTTTATTATAATTCTGTGAGTAGAACAGTTTCTAGAGGGGTCTGGATAGAGTCACTTAAATTATAATCACCCTGTATAATATGTAAACCTAATCACATGTCATCACTTAACCAAGCTAATTAATCAAATACAGGAAAACACCAGCAAGCAGTGCTGAAACATTGTAAACTTTTTTTTAAGCCCAAATAAACTATTACTTTTTATCTGAAATTAATTTTAAGAGATACATTATTTTATGTTTGACCACGGTGTGATTCCCTAAGCCAGCAGATGTTTGAAAGTGACATACAAGTATTTCAGTCATTGGTGAAAATATTCTCCCGCTTTTGGAGTATTATACACTTTGTTAGAGGAAAAACAAATCTTGTGGTCTTTAGATCCGGATACTGGACGTGTGGATTTCGGACTTAGCACTTTACTTTATATTCAGTTTGGGCAGTATAACACTTGAGATATGGAGACTAAATAACAGGTTAAAAACTTTCATTGAATGTCATTTTTTACGCTATAAAAAACCTTCCGTATGACATTTAATAAAGTATATTTCCGAAAGATATGTGACTTTTTCTCAATCAAATACAGCCCTTTGTGAATATATAAATATTACGTTATAGTTCGTTATTAATTAATTTGGCAACAGCTTTGATGCCTGCAAAATTCTCTTCGCCAGTTGGAATGATCTGTTTATTGGAGAGAAGGAAACCCTGTCTTCCAGTGTCTCTTAATTCGATTGCTAAACTGTATTTTATTTTTGCACCTTCGTACGCCCAGTCGGTAGAAGAGCCGGCAGCTGGATCTGAAGTGAAGAGTTACAGTTAAATAATCTAGTATTACGCATTAAGATATTCTAAGACTGTGCTTTCAGACATGATGAAATAGTGTTCCATATCAAAGCAATAAGTTGAAATTACTTCCAATTGTGTTTCATTCCCAGTTTTCCAAGAAAGAAAGCGGTAGCTCTGTTTAGACGTCTGACCGAACATGACTGTTTGCGAGACTCCAATTCTGTAGAGGTGGATTTCCCAAACTGTGTTTTGTGTGACTCCAATCAGCCTATGATTTTTGGATATTTAAATCATTGTGTTGCACTCTCTCGGTGTGAGGACATTGTTAAAAAGTACTGGAGAACCCGTGAACTAATAGCTTAAGCACTAATATTTGGCATTTGTAAAATAAATAAATAAAACTTCGAAGTACGTTTGGATAATTTACTGTTATCTTAATGTAGCAGTTTTCACTGTTTGTTGCAGACAACAGGATAATGCAATTAATTTTCAGACTGTCAGTTCATGAAATCAAGCAAAATTGCACTTCATCTATTGTGCTTTGCATGTTATCCATTACATTGTGAGTTCATTGCGTCCACTCTGCTGGGTTTATTCTAATTTCCCTGCAAACTGATAGTACTTGTGTTAATATGTAGAATGTGTTCTGCTGAAGTACATTAGAATCGCTAAGTCATTTTGAGTACTCTACAGAAGTAACTTATACATTTTTAGCGTTGATGAAGCCTTTTGCGAACGGTATGTTCCCCGGTGGTGATGGCTTATACCGGTAGAATAATGCATCTCTCGCCATCCACAGGTAGCGCAGGACTATCTCAGTAAACACTGTTGACTTTCAAGATAAATATTGGCCATCAATTTTGCAAATTTAAGCCGTAATGAGCTTCTTTTTGAATGAAGTTCAGAGTTCACTAACACCTTGCAAAGATATCGGACAAAACAAGATTCTGTTTATAGATAAATACAGTCAAAAGTCTTTAATCCGGACTCGTCGGAACTTCGGCGATTCCGGATTATAGATCATCAGTTTAAATCTGGTAAGATGGCATGCAGAAATTATAAAATTAAAAATATTAAACCGTAATTTATGAAATAAAGAGCAATTATGATATAAAGGGTATCAAAATTTACAAAAAAAAAGCTTAATACTTATTTGTTTACTTTATTAAACATTTCTTTCAACGCGCGCATGCGTAAAGCATACATTACGCATAGTCGAAATTAGAACATTGCAACCAGAAAACTATTTGATGTGTACTCTTGATATTTATAATGACGAGGAATTTGATTTAAATCATATGAAAGACGGAATACATCGAGATGAAATACTACATTTACTAAGGAATTATAAGCTGAATAAAATATAAACATCTGCCCTGAAGATAAGGATAGTGCTGACAGATCAACTTCCAGTTCATTGCGCGCTGCGACGTTTCACCCCCTCCCCCGCAGAGCAGCGTGAAATTGATAAACAGATTTCGGAATGGTTAGAGAAACAAAGGATATGCCTTTATCAATTTTTTGCAGCAATTCCACTTTTTGTTTGATGGACATCGAAACATACTTTCGCTTTGTAGATACTTTTGCTTTCGAAACATACTTTCGCTTTGGCAGCTCCAGCATTGGAAATTCTATTTGACATAATCGAAAGTTCAAGCTTACTTTTATAAAATTGCTCTAACAGTCTGCAAAAAATAATAAGCCGGATCCAATTCGAAGATTAAGGAACAGCGCAGTCTGCAACATTAACTGAAATAGATAATTAGATAATTTTAGCTTAGCTTATACCGTTCTATATACATTAAAAGCGCATGCGTAAACGTATTATGCGCATGCGCACAAGCATATGCGCAATCGTAAAATTATTACGCGCGAGCGTAAACGCCTATGCGCATGCGTGAACGCATCGTGCTTTGACGCATGCGCAGAAAGTTTGTAGCTTCGAGGTCCGGATTATAGATCATTCCGGATTATGGGTGTCCGGATTAACGACTTTTGACTGTATAAGGGTATATCGATGTATCCTTGCCAATGTTATGGCATATGCATCTCATTCAATCGATGCAACTTGAGAAGGAGTAATTATTTAGAAGCACGGAATGTTTAGAGACATTCCCAGCCCAGTTTTCGAGATTTTATAGATGAGTTCTTTCCCAAATTCCAAATTTTTATTTTTTCTAGAATCAGATCAATGAATTACAACAATTTTGCATAAATTGTATGATGGTTAAAACGAGAAGAGAATATTATTAACAAAAATCTGATAAATCCAATTAATTTTTAGTACTTACATATAGTAGTAGCAATTGGTCCATATCTATAATATTGTCCGTGAACATTCCCGATAGCCGTTGCTGCTGCTTGTAAAGCTTTCATCTGTAAGATATGATATGAAAATTAAGTTATTTTAATGTTTGGTCTCAAAAATTCTTGAACAGTCCAATATTTAAAGAATAATGTTAAGTTATATTAACTATTCAGTAATACAAATATATCTTTTTATGAACTAAGCTCTTAATTTAAACTAGATTTAAATCCTTAAACTTAGGAAGAATTTATATTTCTGAGAAACAAGCATAGTAAATATCACCTAAAATATTAATTTAAGTAACATTCAATACGAATTATAATATTTAATATAAGTTGCCTAATAGAAAAAATTAAAAAAAAAGCCATTTAGAAGCATTTGTATCATTTCAAATTAATAATTAAAAAAAATGTGTCATAATAAATCAGTCAACTATTTAAATGACAAAAAAGTACAAAATATTCATAAATTTACTATTTATTTTAGTTTAGAGAAGATGGACTAATGTCCATCCAAAACAGACCTCGAAGAAGAAAGCCTGAACACAGCACTGCAACACTCGCAGTTACAGAGAATTTTTCTCACGCATAAATTCCGATTAAAACAGGTCTGAAACACTATTTCTTGGCTTTAAAGTTTTGAAATCTTATGTGCATCTAAATTTCATTTCAGCAATCAATATACAGTAGAACTCCAATTATTCGAATCAAGGGACCATTCGGATAATCAAAAATCTCGATAACTGGATTTTTTGCGAAGGGAAGGTCTACGTACACATTAATTAATTATTGTATGTACTGTATGTTGAAAAGGGGAGAAAATATTATTTTTAAAGAAAAAGACGTTTTAATTAATTAAAGTGAAAAGGCAACACTTTTACGTACATGTTATATAGCGTACTCTACAGGACTTACAAGTGCTGAAAATCATTGCTTGCTGAACATCTCGGTCAAAATAAGCTGTTTGACTGTCTTCATCCGTTTTCGAGCAGCCAAGTCGCGCATCCGCTCGACAGCGAGAAATTGCATTTAGTCACACTTGGGTTGACGCTCCATCGAATGCTGATCATTTGCGGTCAAGTCGTAAATTATAAAGTAAGAAAAACACGGGGATGCAAGAAACAGAGGGACTTCGCGCATCGGAATTGTGGAAAAAAGTGGGGGTCGTTTAAACATCTTATTTCTGTGCACTCAGCTGCATAGACGGGAAAATATAGAGAAACTGAATGCACTAAGAGACCGGTGTCTCATCATCCCCCCCCCCCAATAATGTTCGCGCTACGCCTACAATAGTTTCGCGGAAGGAAGAATAAATAGAATCATTATTTTGAGAATCGAAGTACGTTTCCGTCTTAATTTATTTTTTAAATTCTGAAAGTGATTCGGATAGTTTTACTTCGGATAATTGGAGTTGTACTGTATATCTATGGCCATGGTACAAAAACGGAGTCCTCATATTGTTATATTACTCATTCCATAATCCATTCTGTTGTAAAATAATAGACAAAAAAGACAATGCGTTTTGCCTTCTAGAATGTCTTGTTAATATAACAGTAGTTATGGGACAGGGGACATACTTATTATATGTGAACAACGTGCAAACAACAGATGAAATAGTTGAGACAACTGCAGGCATAGGACAAAAACAATAAATCCAGCTACTCCCCTACAGTTTCCGGGGCATAGAATAAGAAGAATCATTGGAATCAAACTGTACAACTTTTTTCAGCGCATAATCGACTAAACAGATGTAGGAAGTAGCTAGGTATTGTAAGCAATAATTTTAAGAGCTATTTTAGTTAGTTATCTGATGAGTATGTGAAATTTTCCCTTTGTTTCACTACTTATCATTATTTATATTACTATCATTGCGAACTCAGCATATTGCTATCATTGCGAGCTGTTTTTTTCTAACTGAGGCTCGAGAAATAAGTATAGAGGTTTAACAAAAAACTGTTCAAGCTTTCCTGTAACCCTGAAATATCTCACAATCATACAGACCGTACGAGCAATGTACGTAAAAAAGAGATCTGATGTGGACACCACAAGACTACCTTGTATGGCCTATTAAATTATACACAGTTTTTGCTGCATTTCATTTAAACTTATTTCTTCGAATTTCTTAAGATATATTTCTCATTCAATTAATTCAGTTCTCATTTCGCAAACAAAAATACATAAAATTCAAAACGTCTTCATTAAAAATTGTAGAATACAGAAGAATATTAAACACCAAATACAGTTAAATACAAATTTTACAATTAAAATTAGAGTTTCTAGGCAAAAACAAGCAATTCGGCCAGCGGGTAAGAAGGCAGATATTTCGGTGCACAAAACTGAATGTTTACTTCTGTTCCTAGTCAGCAAAAAGACATTAAAGGTTCAGAAATTGACTTAATTCACTATTCTACTGAGTTTCAAATGCAAACAAATGGCCGTCCTTTAAGCTTAAGTAGCCACTTAAACTTTTAAATTGTTGACAATTCTACAACTGTTGCATGCAGATTAGCTAAAGGCATAAGAACCTTAACCGAAGCATAAAAACCACATTATTCAATCACTTTTAAAACAAAAAATGCACAATGCGCCAACATATAAAAATAAAAAAACTAAGCTCACCGAGCCAGGTAACATATTGAGAATATATACATAAATATTTATATATAATTGGTGCAGCAGATTGCAACGAAATAGAGAGGTGCACAACTGCATGTTATAGCAGTCCCATATACAAAATTTCAACATTCTACGATTAGTCTTTCTTGAGTTATGTGAGATGCATACATACGTATGTACGTAAAGGCGTCAAGGAAAAAAATCTCTTCTCAATCCATTTTAAATGCAATTTACCCATCGAAACTAGTCCTGTGAAAATTTTGAAAATATAACGCTGATTTTGTTGTTTGACTTCTGAATTGGTATTTGTTCGGCGTGTTATTGTGTCTTAACTACTACTTATTTACTATCAAGCAAGAGAAAAAAGGTTATGGTGCTGCCATCTGTTGATAAACATTTGAATGGCAACTGCAAGTGCAATTTCGTTCTGATTTTTGAAAGTTAACCGAGGAGAGTCGAACATGTTTAACGGAAGAAGCAAAAAGCTTCTTTCCTGATAACAGCTTGCATGCTTGAAATGATTAAAATGGAATGCGCTAAACCATTCTACACGTTTTCTTATTTTATTCAAACCAAGATAAGTTTCCGAAGCCATGGAATTTAAATAGAATTTTAGAGGAAACGGTAAATGGTTTCGATTATGCAACTGAAGTACACTGATTACAAAAGAGTGTCTTCTCTTGATTCCAGATCGAAGGAAAATTTATCAGTAGCCTCGCATTATCGTAGAAATCGGCGTAAGATCTTTGATAGGTGTATCGTAGTTAAATATGCCGACTCATATTGTCTTAACAGAAAGACGGCAAGCTATATAAATTTAGTTTAATTATTGAAATGGCTCGATAGCTTGAAAGCTTGCTGATTTGCTCAGCCAGAAGTTCCAGTACCGATACTTATCCACCCTAAATAACAATTGGGTTGTTTAAACTTTTTTCATTTAAATATTTTGCCTCAAAACTTGACCTTTCTCTCGAACCATTTCTGTAAATATATTTATGTTATTAAGCAGAATAACTGAAAATGATACAGCGTATTCATTTAAAATAATCCACAACTTTCAAAAACAAAAATATGCGTTATAAAGGAAACAAAAATATACGTTATAAAGGAATAATTGCTTCCAGATATATCATATTTACTCGCAAATTCCTCTGCCTTGGGTATTTTCCCTCCTCATACCCTTATCAGTATATTATGCAAAAATTTTGATTTATGAAACAATTAACCAAGAAGATAATGCACATTGAATGACAATAAACATTAATTTATATACGGTGTAAATAAAAAGAGAAACAGTAATAACTTTTAACTGAAATATAAAATGCAATAATAATATTGCATCTATACCCCATATGTAAATTTTGTAATCCTTTAAGTTTTTCCTTTAACATTTCCCTTCAGAAGTAATGTACACTGCGTAATTTTCCCGTCTTGATTTTAAATAGGTAAAATTAGTATTAAAAAAAGATATTTAAAAATACTAAACAGTTCAGTAATAAACACTCATCTCTAATAATAAATTATCAGGTATTAAACTGCAATTCATACTGCAGAATTCTGGAGTAGGTGAAAAGAAATATTTGCAATGAATCTTACATGATCAGCATGATCAGGAGGGTTGGTACGAGAATGACCATAGGGCGTCATCCAGAGCTGTGAGTAGGAATGCAAAGTGAAATAAGCCTTAAGTCTGCTACCCAAGCGTAATACACCATCACGAATGGCCTGGCTCTCTGCTTCTGAGAAGGCAGATTCACCCCTGTATATTTCTGAGCAAGAGTCGCCACTAGTTCCAGGACCTAGGAAAAAGACTGATGTTATAAAAGGACAAATGTGACACTTACGTAAAATAATGCTCAATTTCATACACAGTGAATGCTACTATATATTTTTAAACGGAATCTTTTTTTTTTTTTTTTTTCATTCAGACTCAGTTAAGTTGTTAGCAACAGTGAATTACTAAAACATTTCAACGTGTTTTCTTGAAATTATATCTGCTCGAAAAAAAAAATTAAAGAGAATTTTTGTTCATTATATATGGCTAATATATTGTTGCGTTTTTCTTTTCTTCTGACACCAGTTGTCGCGTTATTTTCTTCTTTCACGTTCGCTCGGGGTTTGTATGGATTTATATGGTATGGAGGGAATAACGACGTCACTACTTGATGAAGTATCGAAACGCACTTTATTAGCCAGTATTGTCAGGACAGCTCCAAAACACGTTTTACAGTCGTCAATGAACTCCTATAAACACGCTGACACGATCAGCGACACAGCCGTCAGGTTATCAAGCTATCAAGGCGGAGACAGCTTCCTTCAAAGCACCCGACTCTGCTTTCTGGAGTACAGCTCCCGACTCTGCTTGGTCGTTCTCGGAACTCCACGTACTCTCGAGACTCCACTCTACAACTCGCGATGCACTCGACGACACACGAACACAGCTCCCGACTCTTCGGTTCAGTCGTTCCCGGAGCTCAGCACGCTCTCTCGACGATGGATGCACTAACCGCGATACGGTAACAGACTCCTTCGGTGCACTCGACGACCCACTCAGCAGTTGCTGGCCGGCTGTCAACTCGATCGACTCCGCAGGGATTGACTCGATACTGACTAACTCGCGCTCTAGACGGGGCACACACACTCGTAACTCTCGAAGACACACTAACTGACTGCGGACCAGCAGGGCTTATATAGCTTTTGGCTTGTGATCGGGAACATTCTTGGCTAAACCAGTAAGAATTTATTCCAGAAGGTTCTCCAAACGTTCATGGTATATCGCCAATTTTGTCGATATATGCCGCCAAATGGACGATTTCTCGCCAAATGTGGCAACCCTGCCCTTCTTTGCCATTTTATGGTAACCCTAAAACTGCTTTGCGGGGAAGCCATCTCACCGCGCCTGTACATTTCGTAACAATATTTTTGCGTGCGTACGGGTTCGTAATAGATTGAATTCGCAAGTCTGATAATACATTAAAAAATTATTCTTATCAAAAGAAATACATCAAAACTCTTGAATTTTCCTCAGAGATTTTCGTACAAGTGTTCACAATATCCCACAGTATAATCAATAGTTATACTTCATATTAATATTAACATTAAATATAGCGCAATGCGAAGCTCATCTAAAAAGAAAGATACTCGGATATCTCAGTTCACGCAGAACAACTCGCAACAACAATAACTAAGCAACTGAACTCAGAATTTCTCTTTACGGCCTTTTATAGTTTTCAGCCGGCCGGAAGCTATTTCTAGTACTTCCTGTTTCTCGAAATTATTGGAAAGCAAATAAGAGGGTGGAATTACGGTTACCAATTACATTTAATTAAGACACAATAACACGCCGAATAAATACTAATTCAGAAGTCAAACAGCAAAAATCTATATTCTACGTAATTTTCCATCCTCAGCTGAGGATGGTGGTTCGGTAAAACCATCGAAACTAATCCTGTGAAAATTTTATAAACATAACGCTGATTTTTGTTGTTTGACTTCTGAATTAGCAATTACATTTATTCAATTTCAATTCAAATTACCGATATAATCATTTACTCCATGTTAAATGCATGTGCCCCTGTGTTCTTCCTTTTCCGGCATAGCGTTCTGTTAAATTTGTCTCGCGCTACATTACACAGAAAAGTACAACAATTTTAATTACAATTCTACTAAACTTACCTATCTAAACACTAAATTCACAACAATATGCTACTAAACCACCCTGGGTGGAGAATGCTAATTATTAGCTGAAAACTAAAGATAAGAGTTCGACTTCCTAGTCCGATTTGTCTGCATGTGCATTATTTTCTTTCCCCGCTTGCGAGTGCAATATCCGTCGTTCCATATTGGGCACCCTAGACACCGTTCTTGGTGACGAGACTGTTAAATGACTGATAGATTCAGTCATAAAATATAAAATTCGACGGATGCTTAACCAGCAAGTATCTGGTCTTTGGAAGGAAATTATATCTGGAATAGTTGGATTTGAAGAATAAATAATGGGGAACGCTGCGCAAGTTTCTCGTAATGCAGCAGTTTAATGCATAGAAAAGGGCAATTTCTCTTAAAGTGCTTTCTTATTCACCAGATTTAATACCTTCGTATCAGATACTGTAAATCTCTCCTTGAAAGCCCCATCTTGAACATTTTAAAAGCTCATTGGAGCTTTCGAGAGAGCTTTTTTAGAACTATAGTTCTCGAGAGCGCTATTTTTGATAGATTCTTAGAAGGAAATTAAAGAGAATGTTGAGAACTGAATATAACCACAAGTATGAATGTGCCAAGAAATGACTATGACTAGAATAATGTATATAAAATGCAAAGCACTCAAAAAAATTTTTCAGTCTCTATATTTTTTATAAAAAACTTATATCTTATCCCTCTGTATTCGTCTATTTCCTCATTATTAAATTCGAATTTACTTCCTTTTCTTAAAAACATTTTATTTTAGCGAAATCTTTTAAGTTTAAGAATAAAAGACGTATTCAAACGAAATGTCTCCGATGAAGTTTAATGCAAGGTATAGGAAACATGGACCTTATAAGAGATAGACTAACCCAGTGGGCGGGGCGCGCGTCACCGACATGTCGGCAAGAAAGAGTAGGGACGATCTGGTTTACTTAAACACTGAAACCTATGGCGTTTGTATCACATAACGCTTTTTAATTAGTAAATGTTATACGTTGTATACACTGTAAAAAAAAATCTGTAAAGTTACTAAGAAAAGTCGTGGAAACTGGGATGCCATGGATTATTTGAGTAATCAAAACAGGAATTTTCTTAGTAACTTTACAGAGATTATACCTGTAATGGTTACAGATGTTTGACATGTAATGTTACAGGAAGTTATTCTGTAGGACATAACAAAAGTTTTTGTATGTTGATTACCGAAGCATGTATCTGTAAAGGTTACAGATCAAAGATCAATGTAATGTTACAGGAAATTATCGTGTAAGTATAACATGTTTTTCATATGTGATTTACCAATGTAAACATCTGTAAAGATTACAAGGAAATAATAGTGTAAGTAGAATCGTAATTTTTGAATGTGAATTACTAAAGGGAATATTTGTAGATTACTAGTGTTCTGCTTGTAAGGTTATTGCAAGTGATTATGTAAGAAAGAACATGTATTTTCATGTGAAATTTTAAAGGATATATATGTAAAAGTTGCAGATAATTTACTTAAAAGTTCTTCCAAATAATTATGCATATAGAACATATTTGTCTTATACAAAATACAAAAATGATGTATTCCTAAATATTAATATTTTGATTGTAATATTACTATAAATAATTACACATGTAGAACAATTGTTTTATGTGAAATGTCTACAGCTACTGCTTGTAACGAAAATATGCTGCATTTATTTATTTATTTGTGGGGAAAGGGAAGTTATGTAACTTTAATTATTATTAAGTTTTTTTTTTTTTTTTTTTTTTTTTTTTTAAGGAAAAATAACCTTAGATTTTCTAAAAGATATACAACATTTTCTTTCAAAATATTTCCAATGTTAAAAAGAAGTTCAAATTTTATGTTTTTCTTACATTTGCATTACTTTCCTTTATTGAATTTTAAGACATCTCAAAGTTACATATGCATCACGAAATAGCTGGAAAAAAACTTGGTGTATTAGACTTAATGGTTTTTTGGCAATAAATTAGTAATGTTCTAGAATTGCTCCTTTTCCCCCCACTGAACACTGGTAGTTCGGTCCGAGGTTCAAATCCCGCGAATGGGCTGGGTTGTATGGGTATTTTCATGGTTTTCTCCATGTGTAACATGTATATAAGTCAGTTTCCCTTCGAAAGTCCTCCCACAAAGGCATTTCTCCACTTAGGCAGATATAATCCTAGTGTGCTTTGCCATACTTAAGTAAACTAAACCAAATCATTCTCCTTATACCCAACAGTGTAATCTAAAGAGACTGCAATTGGATATGATTACAGTAAAAAAAATATTTTAATGAAATTGTTTCAATAAACAATTCTAAATATTTTTTCAAATTCTAAAAAAAATTACTTATGTAACTCAACAATGAACTTAAATTCAGTTATCACAAGTTCTCCAAAATTATTTTCATGCTTAATTGCATTATTCATTTTAATTACAACATATAATTTTTTTAGGCATAAATGCTTTTTAATCTCTTCTGCTACTGACCATTAATTGAAATAATAGATTAATTAATCGGACAGTTGTACAGGTATTTTCCCAGATTTAAAACTTTATTAATAAATTACATTCTTCTCATTGAATACAAAATTGAAGAATTAGTTAGTCCTAAATTTAATTTTTCAAGTATTCCTTCTACTAAAACATTTATTGCCTACAGGCAGCCAGACAGTAATCTGAACACTAGCATTTGGCTCTAGATTTAAATCCTAGAGAATGGGCTGCCTGTGTAAATGTTTGTGTAGCATAACATATAAACCAGTTTTCCTTAAAATATTCCTTTCCTTGGACAGATGGCCCTCTCTTGCTTTGGTCATATTTCAAATAATCAATTCAAGCCATTTAATGTAGGTATGACTTCACAACTTCGTCCCAAATTCTAACTGAAAAATTGAACAGAATCCCCTGATACTGTGTTCTATAATACATGATGAATATAGAATGATCTTAAAAATTTAAGGAAGAAAATATAATGTATTTGGAAAATGCCTTGATCCTATAATTATATTTTTCTCTGCTATGCCTAGAAAATTAAGAAAAGAATGTAAAAACTGAAGATAAAGAATTCAGCATTAATAATTGATATGATAGTAGTAATAAACTAAAAAATTTTTAATGAAAAATTGA